CAAGCATCCTAGATTTTACTCTCTAGTAGATGTATTTCTTTAACTCAGCAAAATATCTTTGTTAGCGAACTACATAGAGTAAGGTATACATTTATATTGAGGATGGACATGAAAGAACGACGAGTCACTAAAGAGCTTAGGAGAACAAAAAGCCCACGAAGTAAGCCATGAATTTTTATTTCCAGTTTTTCAGAAAAGGGCTCTTAGTATTGTTGCTCAATTTCGAATAATAATCAAATCCTCAAATTTGGTGAAGCAAGTTTTACATACGTGTTTAGATTGTAATCAAAAAGGGCAAACCCTAGGAAAATCTGTAGATCAAACTCTCAAAAAAATTTCGAATTTATACTTATGAAGTGACTCACCGTTTTTCTGCAGTCAGTCTGTACTAAGGTCAGCTGAATCTGATATTTGATCCCATTATACATCTGCTGATGCACTTGATCTATGGAATGGACATCCCAACGATAGAGATCATTTGATCGAGCATTCAGGTCTTCAACAGCTTTTCGTGCAAGATCCTAGAAAAAAGGTACAAACTAAATGTTTCCTTGAAAATCTCTTCGAAGTCTACCATGTACAGCTTACAAAATAATGAAAACACGGTCAGAAAATAATTTTTAAAAGTGCGGAAAACTTGGGAAATTTTTTTATGTTTGAATGAGATTTCGCTTACCTGATGCACCTCAGTGAGAGGATCTGGCTTCTCCGGCTCATGGATAGTACCAGCCAGAATTTGAGGAATAATAAGGAGGACCCATCCAAACATCCTAAACTCAGAAAAAAAAACAATTTTTTAACAAAAGACTGTTTAAAGCAGAGTTTAACGAAAATAGCAATGAATCAATTCAAAAGAGGACGGTAAGTCTACATTGTAGGCAAAAAGGCAAAAGGAATAAAATAATGAGAAATGGTTCTATATTATTCAAGCCTCTGATTTCATTTTATAATACATGGTTATAAACAAGATTGAAGGAAGGAAAGGCTTTGAGAAACTCGTTGCAAATGTCTTACGTGCATCCGCTGCCTAAAATCAATTCTTCAATTCTTGAAGTTAAAAAAAGTTGTGTTCAGTAAGGAACGAAGAGTGGAGATAAAAGAATAAATTATGAAAGTTGGTGGTAATTAACATACCACAAAATTTTTAAATTGAACTGTGATATTTTGCTTGTAAAGGGACTTATAACTTCGCGCTGTCCATGAAGTTTCTCAGTTTCTTGTAAAAAGGCGCATAACTAGAGCAGTAACACTGTAGTTCCCGAAGGATTTCAGTATTTGAGCTTCCAA